AATATCAATTAAACCAACCACTCTTCCCCAAACAACATGAAGGAGATTACAGCTGGGCTTTATGCCTAACTGGATATTCCTCTGAACCTGAGAACACTCAGACTGCAGTCGGTTCAAAATATTCAGTACATAACAAACAACAAGGGGGAAACAGGAAAACCAGAGAGGAACTGTAACCTATGTGTTCAGCTATGACCATCAAAAAGTTTAAAAAAGGACCAGAGGTGAAAATCTGTGGACAAAACCAGAACACACATAAAGCTCATATCAGCAGATTCCTTCTTCTCGTTCAGACCAGAGCCCGACTGATGAGGATTTTGGGGGCAGATATTGATATTTAACACTAAAAGGCTGATAGGATATATCAAGCCATATTTATATTTAAAAAAACAGTAACAATTCCCAAGATATTGCTTTCAACCCCTTATGACGAAGTATGTAATTAAGGCTTGATAACTTATAGTTTGACCACAAATATAAATAACTTAATAAAGACAAAACACATATATAACCATATAAGATACCAAAGTGTCTGTAACACCAATTCAATGTTGTATGATGTTTTTTCTTAATTTACACTATAAGACACAAGTTCATCCATTTCTTGTTGTCAGATGCTATATCTATCCATAGATATCTGTGCATATTGAAAATTAAAAATAATATATCAGCACTTAAACACATAACAAGACATTGGCTCAAGACAATATGTCCCCAAACAGAGAAATGGAGAGACACAGTTAAACAAATATGTCAAATGTAATATCCAACTCAAAATGAGAGGGAACTTAAACCTGTTTGAACAGAGATGGTGTAAATGGTCTATCTACTATGAAATGGTTTACAATGAATTAGAATTCTTGGATTGTGAGGCTCCATGATGGTTACTACCTCACTACCTTACTTAAAGCAAGGTTATTCTGTCTTACTTAATCCTATTTTATTGTATTTCTTTTCTCTACATATGGACATTTGTCTGTTTGTTTTGTATGAATGTATGTAAAAATGTGTATGTTGATATGATATACCATTGTGATGTATCACTGTGTGTCATATTAATGCAATGTACGCTTTCATAAAATCCTGGTAGACAAAATATTCAATATTTCCTCATTCTCTTTTGGTTACACAACTTAACACGTTAAGGCAAATTACAATGCAAATTACATGAAACCAATATAAATACAAAATGGATATTTTAGCAAACCTGATACATTCTTTGAAAACAAGTTTTTGAAACACAAATTATATTTGATATGGATCAATTAAAATAACTGACATTACACGAAGTGGTATTAAAAGACACCAGAGCCTGTCATTGTTTATGTATGTGGCCAAGACAATAACAGAGGTGTAATCGAACACATGCAGGTAAACATACACACAGAAACCCTTGTACACAACATTTTCTTTGTTGGTTACTTCGCCAGCGAAAGCAGAGGGAGGCTCTTTAAACTTACCAGTCTCTTGCTGTGCCGTGTCTTGGAGTCATCCATCATCACCGGAAAACTTTGTCCAACTAAACTAAAGCTTTTTAAACGAGGGATTTTTAAAGCGGAGCCATCGGTCTAACAGTGAGCTGTGGCCGGGCGCCACATGGCTCCAGTGGATAGTAAACAAGCGGCAGGAAGGCGTGTGTATGAATCATCGACTGGATGATACGCATCCAGTGAGAGCGACTTACCACACGATGCAAGACTAACACAAACTAAACTCACTCACAACACAAACCAGACTAACTCACAACACAAACCAGACTAACTCACAACACAAACCAGACTAACTCATGAGTTGAACTAACATTATTTGGGAGGGCAACACTCTGTGAGTCTGTGCAGGAACCCGGCGGTTCACACAGTCTAACATTACTACCCTCACTGGCTGAAGGTTTGATGAACTAAGTGGACGTTTCTTTTTCAAAGGCTACTTACACACAGTTATTATTCTCATAGCATCCTGCCTGTGTGAATACTCGAGCTTTGTTCCCCCTCTCCTCCACTCCGTGTCCTGCTGCTGCTAGCTTTCTGTTAGCGCCCTGCTTATACCGGTCACCTCAACGTGACCTGGACTTATACTAAAATACCCACTCTCACACATTTCTTATATCCTGCGACAGAGGGCGGACATTGTTGCTGCTGGTACAACTGGCACAGTGAGAAGTTAGAGCGGACTCCGAACAGCCGCCATTTTCCAGCCCATCACAAAACATCACCACGTCCCTCCCACAAAGGTACATTGCAGCCAATCACAGATAGGTCGGCGACACGTTCATTGGTCTTCACCCGGTGTCACTCACGCGAAAGACTTGTAAGCTCTGATTGGACAAGAGCAGCCAGTGGGCGTACAGAGGAGCAGGCAAGCAACCAATAACAGCGCGGTGACAAACCACCTCGCAGCTCATTGGTTATTCTGTCCCCAGGACGTTAATCAGTGGAGGAACACACGATCAGTCACGAGAAGCAGCCAATGGGGCAGTGATACAACACAGTAAAGACCAACCCACCCACCATTATAACTAGTCATCCCTAGTATAAGCTGAATTGCTTTAAAATAACTCGATGATCATGTCTTACCCCCATTTTAACAAAGGTCCCTCCGCTTCCGCCCGCAGGCTCTGATCTGAGGCGTGTGCCGTCTTCTGCGTCTCGTAGCTTCCCGTCGACAGGCTCACATCGCAGCGACACGTTTTGTTGCCTTCACCTCAACGAGGAAGTGCCCGCAGCTCCATAGATGGAAGCGGACTTCGAGTCCGCCGCTCTGGATTGGCTGAGAAATGTTGCATGGCTCCCGTGATTGGCGGAAGCTGAGCCATCGCTCACCAGCGCAGCTTGAAGACGGCGAGCGAGAGGAAGCAAGCTGAGCTGACGCGCATGGCGAGCGCAACCGAATGTGAATGATGAATTTCATAAGAACAATCAATAACACATGCAGTTTATTTTTGGAAACAGGTTTGGACAGAGCTACAGCAGACATGTGTCTTAACAATAGAACGACTTCCCCTATGCACTGCTACAAAGGCTGTAAATGCACAAAGAGAAGAATACAATTACACTACATGTACACTGAATGAGCCCTGGCTGACCATGACCGGCCCTTCCTTATTTCCAACCTGCCCCTTATATCCACATCATAATAAGAGTATTATTATTTTATTAATAATAATAATAATACTTTAATGTTATCATTACTTTACATTTCAATTTTGCCCTTAAAACCTGGGTAAGCGAGCAGCTCCCTCCTGCTGTCATATGGACACACATCAGGTTATTCGAGTCAAAAAACCTTTACAGTTAAATTAACCACTCAGGTTGTGGGAGAAACCCAGGAGAAAAGATTCATTTTATCCACTTGATTTAATGGTCTGGTATCAAGCCTTGTTTTGTTTAGTCTCCCAAAGTATCAAGAGTAAAGACTGAAACAACACGAGTCGGCTGCAGTGTCAATGTCAGCTCACACATGCAGTAGAGCCAGCTGCATCGGTAGAGTATGAGAGGAAGGATGCAAATGTTGAAGACCAATTAGAGTCAAGCCATGGTATAAACAAGCTAAAGTCCTTTAAAAAAATCTTTGTAGTAAATACACAAAAAACAAAGCTGTGAAGCAGTAAAACACCCCCAAGGCAGTGGCAGTGTAATCAAATTCATTGTGTTTGTTTCCATTTCTAGGCTGACACCTTCAGAATACTATTCTCAGCTCAATCACCATCTACAATCAGTAATTTTTTTATCAGTTCAACATCAACTACGATGACCGTCTTCTGTCTTTAATTAAAAATGATTTGAATAAAGGCCCACTATGGAGTCATAGCAGGTTCTTATCCACAGCATGATGTGAATTTTATTATTAGATGCAGTCAATAGCAAAAGTATTGGCACAGTAGTTTGGTTTCACATTGTAAAACAAATAATAGACAAATGTACAAAAGAGGAGTGACAGCTGTCTCAATACTTGCGATAGTGACTTCATACAGATGCATCAAAATGTCAGGCAGTGTGTGTCGTGCTGCCTGCCGGACGCTCAAATGTTAACAGACTCTGCTTTTTATTCTTGACTTATATATTTATTATTTACTCATAATAATGCACGTCAGATGGAACAACCTTCCTCACGCCTCATGTGGAGGCAGATCCTGACAACTGTGTCCTTATAGTATTTAAATAATCTGAGACACTAATTTATCCAATACATTCTTTCAGGTTCGACAGCTTTGCGAGTTAAAGGTGGGGTGGGACACACACGGCCTACAAATAAAGACATTTTTCTTATGTAAAAAGTTGAAGAAGTAAATAAAAACAGACGAAATATTGTTACCCCTTGAGCTTTCATCTAGTGACACATCCGGTCCAGTTTTCATCTTTATCCCTCATCAGATTTGATTAATCTAACATCAACACTCCTCCAACAGTAACTGACAAATCCTGCACCTAATACCATTCAAACTCATACAAACACTGCAACAGTAAAATATTGAGGTCAGAGCCAAAATGGGACTTGAAGGATCATTCACACAAAACGTGTGCTCATTGTGTACATCGCATTTTCTTTCATCCTTTATCTCGACTGTTTTCTAAGGGAGATGTACTGATTGTTCACTTCACCAGGTCCAGCTATACAATCCAACAGCCCTACAACACCTCTCATATCCATGAAACATAACGTTCACAGTCTCTTTTGGTCTGTTGGTTCGACTGTAGTCATTATGACGTGGTGTATTTGACTGCAGCATATTGAAAGGGGTTTCTAACATTTCGTTTAATTCTTGTTTAAATCCTGGAATGCTGAGTAAAAGAATTATCAGAAACTACACTGAACTGAATTTGAATGTGGGGCACCTTTGAAATGTTTAGAACATTGCCATAACCATATTCAGAAATGGATGCAAGCAGTTGTGGCCTCCCCTTCGAATTAGAATGAGCTGAAACAATGGCAAACTGCTCTGTTGTGTGACCATCTAGAAACATTTGGCTCTGCCTCCTCCTCCTCTACTGTGTGGACTCCGCTAGCAGATGGCCTCAAGTTTTCTACTTGATGAAGCTGTAGAGAAATGACCCGACGATGAGGGCCAGGATCACACAGCAGCAGAAGATCATCATTTGTTTCTGGAGGACAGGGGAACGGTTGCACAGAGAGAAAAGGGAGATGGTGTTAGGTGACGCCACAGTAAATGAAAGTAAAGTAATTCCAGGGATGCAACATAAAACTACTGTATATAATCACTGTGCATACTTGTACAGATATGGAAGAATAATAGTTATAAAATAATATGTAAACCATTAAACTGAGTGTAAATACACAGGACTTTGGGGGGGTGGTGGTGAGTTTGAGTGAGATAACATGAATTTGAAAGATGTGGTGATTAATTGTATTTAGTATTAAAACCATAGAGTGTATAATTGAAAGAATGGAAGGTGATACAAATGTGACTGTGTGAAGAAAATGTTACCAACTGTAAAAAAAATGTGCATCAGTGAATTCGATCAGTAATCTGTATATTATTGTTAAAGTCATTTTCAACAAGATTAAGTCATCTCACTAGATCACAAGTGGCTCTGTCTGTTGACAGACGTTGATGGCATATTGTACTTTTTTTTATCATTCCATTATATCCCACATTTTATTTGTGAAAAATTCAAAATGATTATGCTTGACCAAAGATGGTTTCGCACCATGGACTTTTACTTTCTGTATCCTCCTCATACAAGAAATATAAAGATCAGAGCAATACACACATACAACTCTTCTATCTGGACTTGTCCAAACCTGGGGTTACGACTTGCAGTCTGCAATGATCCTATCACACGGGTTCAGCTCTGAGTTCATCAGTTCACATCTGACATTACAATGTGTCTCCACACGTGTCTTCTGTGGACACTTCTGATCAGATCACACTGTCCTGTACTAAACATGAACATTGTGTGTGTGTGTGTGTGTGTGTGTGTGTGTGTGTGTGTGTGTGTGTGTGTCTGTTACAGAGACAGAGCAAGGGACAGAGGGTAAGAGAGAGTAAATGAATGCTCAACAACTCAGTTGAAACTATTTTGGTTCATTGTGAAACTGTAGCAGTTCAGAGGACATCAGCTATGGTCCTTCAATGTGGCCCAGGACACATTTGTGTTCACACTGATAGTCTAGAGGTCTAAAGTAAGAACATACTGTATTATACATCAGATGAGATGTTGCTCCTAAGGTTGTACTTATCATCGTTACATGTTGGATGTTTCAGCGTGAACTAAAGTTTAAAAACAACTCACTAAAAGGTCGCCACATCCATGTTAGTGCTGCATCTACTTACCCTGCGTGCCTCCTGCTGGAATTTGGCAGCTTTCTTGGTGTCTGCCACCGCCCTCTCTACAAAGCCCACTGACTGGTCCATGTTGCTCTCAATCCTGTCAATCATGCCACCCTGGAGGTGGGCGGGACAAAATGGAGTAAAGTAAGAGAGGGGAACACCAGGGGACAGGCAGAGAGCAAGGGGCATGTGTGTGTACGTGATATTGACCCAGGATGTGAAAATGTGTCGGGCTGTGTAGATTGACTTCACAGATTCCAGACCAGCAGAGTAAAAATCATCAAAGCCACATAGCTGCAATACAAACTGCAGCACATTCTGGGTAATGTCAGTGCACGCCCTGCTGTTATATCATAGAGGGAGAGTTGTCTCTTAGTACCTGGTTTTCAACTATCATGGCGATGTCTACAAACATGTCATGGAGCTCTTTGATGCTGCTCTCCAGCCTCATGATGTCTTTGTGACGAGCCTCGATCTCATTCAGGGCCTGCTGGTTGATCTTTGAGTCCATAATCTTGGGTGTTGGGGCGTGTTGGGGTGTGTAGGGGTGTGTAGGGGTGGTGGGGGGGGAGGAGAGCAGAAAGACAAAGTGAAGTCAGCAGGTCAATGAGAAATATTTAAACTGATCTATAAAAAACTAGAAGCAGATCATCGGAGAACATAGTTCGATCGTGGCATCCGACCTTCCAATTACAGAACAATACTATATATACTCATGCACTCTACTGGCATCTGCATCTGTGAGCATCTGTTGGGCAGAAGAACCACCAGCACAGTTAAACAGTCCTGCAAAAAAATATTGCAGCTTAATCGAGAGTTGCGACCTCAGTTGAATGAATGCAAGTACCACATGTACACAGAACACATGATGCCCATCATCCATTATTCAGCCACCAAAAATTCCCCAAAGTACAATCCATTTGCTCGACTGGTTGTAGTTTTGTTTACAGCTTCAGCTAACAGTTCTTTTGATTGTTAACTAATTGCAACTTTATTTTCTAAAATGCTCTTTTGTTCCACTAAATGTCAGAAAACATTGAGACACAAGTCTTATATTGGAGAGAAAATACTGGAAAACCAATATGATTAATTGATTATCAAAAACGTTGCCCAATCATTTTCAGACTAATTGATAAGTCTGATGGTTTCAGGTCTGATTTTTTAATGTTCACCCCCTCCCCATGACAATCTCACCCCAGCAGTGAACACAGCAGAGTTTCCTCCCTCCAGCATCTCCTCCAGCTCGTCATCTGTCGTTGCTTTCCCCGCTGTGATGGACAGAAGGACAGATGTTAGATAAATATCTGCTCACTGAAAAGTCTGCATCTTAAATACAGAAGGGAGACAAACAAAAACAATGGCAGCTTTGAGCAACTGTCACTGATGTAGAGATAACACAGGAAAAGGGCCAAGTGAGAGTGAAGCCCATATTTTTGTGTTCAGTTAAATGAATCAGTATTGAAAAGCGGATGCAGTGTCTTTACACCTGACTGAAGTTACAGCTACCTTGTTGGGTTTGATGCTGCAGTGAGGACACCACATGGACAGGTTCTATCACATATCTGCTGCAATCACAACTTCATTTTGAAGCTAATTTTTGTCAAATCATATGAACTGTCCCACTATCAAATATAATATCAAGTGTTTGCTGTGTGTATATATGCTGATATTTCATTTAAACAGCTTTCTTCACAGTACAAGCATGTCATCTACACGTCTTATTACTTCGTCTAAGGTACTAATGACAGGTGGCTGTCATGAGTTTGTTGGTTGTAAATGAATCGGTGTTAGAATCTTTTTTTACAAATATTTGGAAAACGGGTAAAAGTAAGCATAAAATAGTAGATGTGAGATAAACTGTTCGAATTTTAAATGACAATAAAATAAAATCAAGTCATGTCAATGACACAAACATGTATACATGTGAAAAGAATATAATTGCGTTAATGTGAAAGGTTTTTTGATAAACCCACAAAACAAACCATTCATGTATTTCTGCACAACACCACCAAAACTGTGTTCATACAAAGGTTTGCTGTCTAAAATCAGTCATCGTGTAGTCTGATAGTATCAGGAAAGTAAACAACTGTAACTCACTGATCTTGAGCTGTCGTGCAATCCGTCCTTTGCTCTTATCTCTGAAGTCAACTTGAGCCTCGTTGTACTTTGTCATCACCTCCACAAATTTCTTGGCCAGGATACCATGCTGCGGAAAATGGAAATGAAGACCCGCTGTTAACTGGAATGTGTAATGACATGAAAACATAGGAATAAGAATGTGGAGTGGCGTTTACATAAAAAATACATACAGAAATACATAGAATATTTTTGTTTACAGCTTACAATAAAACAAAGCTTCTAACTTTAGTTTGAGGAGGTTGAGGATTTATATTGTATGCTGGCATTTCAAACCGAGTGCATCTCACAATGACATTTCAGAACACACAACAACAACGCTACTGAAATCTCATTGTGTTCTGTGAAATGTTGTGTTTTGTATAATGCTGTGTTTTGACCATCAGGGCAGCTGTACAAACCCCTTTTTAATGTCATGAAAAAAATATAAATATAGAAAATCTTCATAAATGTTTAGTCACAAGCTAAAATTGTTCTGCAATAATAAAGAAAATCCCAAAACATTTAAGAAAAAACAAACACAAATACATACAAATATACACATCAATACTAAAAAGATTAATATGTACATCAATATGCCCACATGTAAACAAAACAATTTTCAAGCTGTGAAACCAGAGAACTCTCAAAATATCTCTCTCGAGCAGATGCATGTTAGATAATTATTTGGTAGTAATACTCCGTCACCTTATCAAGTAGCCGGTATTAGAATCATTCTAGGGCAGCCAGGTTAATAAGCCAGAAGCTTCCTCCCTAACATAAGAGCAGTCTGGGTCCAAATCAGCAAGTGGTGAACTCCGTTAATGTGGAGTGGTAACCCAAAATAAATAGACTGGGGGAGAAAATAATATTTTGTTTTTGCACAGTGATACCAGACCAAAATTCCTGAACCTTTGGGCAGCTCCAGAGCATGTGCACTAAAGTACCACACCTCTAGCACTCTGAGCCATCCACCAAACACTATCCAACCTCGATGGTGTCCAGCAGACTATATTTATCATAGATAAAACGTTTGTAGTAGTAGGTGCTTGATTTGGGGTTATTGAAATTCTTGTCTGAGGACCACAAATCAACTACAACTATGGAGCCTCTTCGGAACCTCGACTGCCATAGAAAGGGGATTTATTGATACAAATTCTGGGATTAAATCAGATCCTAGCTGGTGTCTCACATGTTTAAACACAATCAAACACAGAATCTGCTGCTGTCCATGTGGGCAAGACTAACAGACTGTCGGAGCTCCCAATTTAAATTATGATAACACATCAAAACATGATGGCACCTGTGGCTCAGGAGCAAGATCGGGGCGACCACTAATCAGAAGGTTGGTGGTTCAATCTCTGGCTCCTTCGGTCAAAATGTCGGAGTGTTCTTTGGTGATGGTTATATTAGCAGCAGGTAATTGAGATGTATACATGATAGAGAAGTTCTGTATGTATGAATGTGTGTGTGTTTGTGAATGGATGAGTGGAAAACCATTGTAAGTGGTCATCAAGCAGCCATAACATTAACACCATATTGCAGAGGCTGTGGCAGTTTTCTTCCCAGTGGTTTCACTTATCCTCACGCTAGCACTTACATCTACATTGGTTTTAGGGTCATTTGAAGTTAAACCCTCTTCTTTCACGGAGACCAGTGTTAAAGAAGAAAGTAAGAGGAAAAAGACAGTTTGCAGCAGAAAACTGTGAGGATGTGTAAACTCTAACTTCTTCACCTCCCCCCCTTCAGTTCTGCACTGCTCAAACAAATTTCATATATTGTCCTATTGTCTGACCTGTGACTTGCGTATCCTGAGGTCAGCAGAGGCCCTGTCATCTGTGTTTGACTCGAGCTGCCGTTCAATACCTGACACACACAGAGACACACACAAAGGCAGGAAATAACCATTAGTGTTGTCTGTTGTCCTTCTCAACAGATAATGAAAATGAGACAGCTTCAACATTTTCCAGAGGTTACATGTAAACAATACACAATAGAAATAAGACCAATATTTTTTTTTTCAAATCTGATTTTAACTATTGTCAAGTATACAGTGCATCTACCTACACATGATATATATTGTTATCCAGGGAGCACTGACAGACACTGCAGGTTCAAATGAATAACTGTGTTTTTTGATGACATTCGTCAGCATTGAATTAATATCTGACGTGGTTCTGTGGTATGCAGATGATTTCTATTTCAATCTGCCTCTTAAAAGAGAAAGTAGAAAGACAGTAAAAAGACCAGATACTGACTCTTCAGTTTGTTTCTGGCGTTGTTGGCTGACTTCTTGATCTCATTGGTGAGAGCCTCAACGTCATCCTGTGTTTCTGAGAGACAGTGAGAGTGTTGGGAGATTGTTAACAGCAAGGGTTAACACAAACGATTAATTCACTTATAATAAACCTTATACTAGCATGTTTTAAAACACAGTGACAATGTCCTTTACATGGTGTTAACAGGGATGGAACATTTGAGGATTGAGGTATCAAATTATACAGAATGCACCCCATGTTTTCAGGAATGATTTAAAAGTGTGTGTGTATCTGAAGCAGTTACTCTGGTCAGATGTGGGGGCTGACAAGATGGTGGAGTAGAGTTTTTTGATTTCTGTGATGCTCTCGTCAACCTTGTCAATGCTGATACGGATATCTTCAATCTGAAATACATGGGCACACACATCAGCCAACAACGTGTTATACATCTATATATGTCTATAAAGATGTGAGGAATAGACACACACAGACACAGACTGACAGACCTGAGTAAAGAAATCATCCATAAATGCTTCATTCTCCACAGGAACCTCGATGTCATCCCCTCCAGCGTCACTCTTCTGTTAAACACACACAC